GGCAATGGAGGAATAAAACAGACGAGAAACTTGAAAATAATATAATCATTACTTAATGTTTGATATTTGGTAAGTATTTACAGAATAAGCGATGATATACGAACAGTGTATGAAAAGGGTTTTAAACTGAAGAAGCTCTCAACTCTGTTGAGTTTATCCGCGAGCAACAGCGCGGTTTCGTTAATACAGAGGGAAAATCCTTTCATCTAAACCCTGAAGCCGGTGATTAGCATCGAAGACATACCAGTTTAGTGCCTCGCACAAAAAACCACGACAGACGGCAGCTTGCATTACCTGTCTCTGGCAGGAACAAAAGATATGAAAAAACAGCCTCACAAAAAAAAAACTTTAATTAAATAGACAATTAAACTCAATCTGAACCGACCATATTTAAAAAAAAAAAAGCATTTTCAATAAATACATGTGTTCAATCAAAGAGCAGAAAAATAACAAGTAGCACACAGGGCATAAGCCTGACAAGTCGGTAAAGCGCGTCGGCGGCGCGTAGTAGGATCTGTATTGGCTTATGTTGGTTTAAATTAAAACTCGATTAGCCCCGTTTTTTAAAACACACGTCATTCCAGCAGTTTCACGCAGTGATGATCAGGAGAAACATAAGACATCAGTGTACACTATTATTGGTTAAAGACACTGCAGAGTATTTTAAAGACTGAGATATAGAAAATACATGTCAGAGAAGAACATTCATGTCTCCGGGTCCAAATCAGACGCACACAGCCTCCGAGTCAGACAGGAAGTGACCTCTTGTTCTGTGATTTGAGACAATGAATTAGTATTTTAACTTTCCATTATCGAACGTTTAAAAACACAGAGACTTAATTTTTCCTCTGGATTTGTTGATGTGTGATCTACAGGATGTAACCTGCGAGGAGACTGTGAGGCAAGACGGAGACACGACCTGCTGTTCGAATCCAGGGGCACCATTCAGAGACGCCTGGCCCTACGAGACCAAACCGAAGTGAGGCGGTCTGTGTCTACGGAGGATTTTTCACGCCCTTACCTTTGCGTCATTAACCGGGCGGAGCGGCTAACCATGATCTACTGCAGTCAGTCTGTAGCGACTAGTATACGAACTACCTCACAACAACCACACGTCACGAAAAACCGAGAATGTCCCTTTAAGAAATGAGTGTGATCGGTAGATGTGATCAGCTGTGGTCAATTACAACCTGAAAGGCCAGAACACGTCACCCATCCTGAGGGTCAGACTGGAGTCTGTCTTCGGCCGACTGAGCTGCAGCGACGCAGTGAACGTTAAATCTCCCACACGGGACTGAAAGTAGCTGCGGTGAACTACCAGTACCCATGATTCACTGCACATGTACGTCTGCTAGCCACGTTCAGGTGGGAAACTACATTGTTTGTGATAATATGAGAATATTATTGTTGACATATTGATCAATTCTTGCAAACAAGCAAATCACATTTAAAAGCTTTGTGTGTGTGTGTGTGTGTGTGTGTGTGTTATCGCCGAATGTGTGGTAGTATGGTCGAGCAGTTGTGCTCGTGTGTGTTGTGTGAGGCTAGTGTGGGAAGTGTGTGTTGTGTGTGTGTTGTGTGTGTGAGGATGTGTGTGTGTGGTGTGTGTAGTATCGTGTGTGTGTGTGTGAGTGTCGTGTGTGTGTGTGGTGTGTGTGGTGAACTGGTGGTGGTGTGTGATGAGTGATGAGGTGTGTTGTTGTGTGTTGTGTGTCTCGAGAGAGTGTGGTGTGTGTGTGTTTGAGGGAGTTGCACGAGTTGTGTTTTTCCGGAATGTTTGGGTTTTTTGGGGTTTTGTTGTGTGTTCTTTCGTCATGAAGTGCGGACTAGCGCAGTGTGTGTGATTCGAACATATAAAGTGAGTGTGTGGGTGTCGTGAAGTGAAGTTGCGCCCTCGTGTGTGTGTGAGGAGTGTGTGTGCAGTGTGTGTGTCGTGGTGAGTTGTGACGAGTGTTGTGGTGTGTGTTGAGAGGAGTGTAGTATGTGTTGTGCCTGTGAGCAGTGTGTGTGTGTGTGTGTGTACATGTGAGTGACGTGTGTGTGTGTGGTGTGTGTGTGTGGTGTGTGTGTGTGTTGTGTGTTGTGTGTGTGTGTTGAGAGTTGTGGTTGTGTGATCGTAGATGAGTCGAGGTGTGATGTGATGTTGTGTGTACTATACCAGATGTGTGTGTGTGTTCTCTGAAATGACACGTTCACGATCAAATCCGTCACAAACCAATGAAATGCTTCATTCCTCCAATCACATCGTCCGCCCTGATGTCACATGACGTCTCGCCAGTGTCTTCCTGTTCTTCAAAAAGTGCCACAACTCCGTACGATACCGTCAGACGCTGCCAATCAAACCCATCATCATCATCATCAGTCCACCAATCAGCTGCATTGTGGCATGATGATGTCACAATCTACCACAGTGACGCCACCTCAAGATGGCGTCTGACAAATCTACAGAAACGATCTCCTTCCTGTTTGGTGTGTTTACGTCCTTCACTGACCGTCCGACCGTCGCCAGGCGCTTTTTGCATTCCCTCGCTGCAGTCTCACACGATGATGTCATAGAGTCTGCCGACGCGGCCCAGCCACTCGCGCAGCGCCTGGCGGACCCGGGCGTCGGTGACGTGGCAGGACAGCTGGCTGAGGCAGGGGTAGAGCGCCGGCTGCAGCGCCAGGAAGGAGGAGTCAGACAGGAGGAGGACCTGATTGAGGAGAGTCAAGACCATGTTGGTCCACGCCTGCAGAGAGAGAGAGAGAGAGAGAGAGAGAGAGGGAGAGAGAGAATCACAACACACAAACAGACAGATCGTGATGTGACGTGTAACCGAGCGACACGTTCCTCCGGGTCCCTGCTCGACATGGAACATGCTACAACAGGAGCTCTTATATAAACCACCATAAAACCTAAATAAATACGATGTGCTACATGCAACAGTAATACTGAGCCCCAGCAGGCAGCACAGACACAAGAGCAGTTATATAACGACAACACGTCTGTGAGTGTGGCCGAGAGCACGTTCAGCTATATGTTGAGATTTTACATATTAAACTGAGACGCGTGTTTTAAGCTGTAAAAACTCCCTGATGCACTGAAGAGATAAAGACGTCAGGGTTTTTAAATCAGCTCTTCATCTGAGATAAAAACAGCCACACGCTTCACATCGTCTTCTCTATTCTCGTGGACTGTAGTCACCTGCACACACACCTGTATCTGGGCCTCAGAGTCCCTCAGTGAGATGCTGTGGGAGCTGATGGTGGATCCTGAGCGGGGCCTCTTCTCCTGCCTCAGGACCTCGGGCCCTGCGCTGACCGAGTGCCTCAGTGGGGGCCCCTGCTGGTCCACCAGCTGCTGCGGTCTCTGCGGGGGCTCCGCGGGACCCCTCCTCTCCCCGGCGCCCCCGCCTCCCGCCGCCGCCGCCCGGCCCTGCTCCTTCATGAACAGGTTGACGTGGCTCTGCTGCGGCTGCTGCTGCTGCTGTTTCCTGCGTTTGTACTCCATCATCAGTTTGCTGATGGTTTTGTCCGTGGCGATGGTGTACAGTTTGTTCCCGGCGCTCTCCCACCATTCCTTCCTCTTCCCCGCTCCGACGCTGCCAGGAGCTCCGCCCAGTGAGCTCGCCGTGATGCTGGAGTCTCTCCGCTCGCCGCCGGTCCGGAAGTGATGAGGCAGGCTGCCCGTGCTGCTGTGGAGAGACAGGAAACAGCTGACTTGGTTTGACTCACACTGAGCGAGAGGCAACAGGTGAATTCACCTCTGTAGTTCTTTATTTCTTATAATTCCTTATTATTCCTTTATTGTTCCTTAATATTCCCACTGGGGAAATCTACAGCAGCAAAGTGACAGAACAGTAAGACGTGCTCAGAAACATAAATAATAGATAATAATAAAGATATTTACAAAAATGTACAAAATAAATTCTGCTGTAGTGTTTGCTCTCTCTGTGGCGTTCCGAGGTCGAACCGTGTAAATGACCTCTGACCCCGTCGTCGTTTTCACATGTATGTTTATTGAGCTCATGAAGAAGAACAGAACCTGATGAATCTGAGGAGGACAGAGGCGACAGTCTGACCTGAATCCTGGACTGGGTGTGGGCGTGTCTCCCGGTGACGCTGCGCTTTGGTCCGCCGCCTGACACCGGTACCCGCTCTCCTCCGAGGGCGTCCCCCTCGCCGAGAGCCCGCCTGCCGACGACGGAGTGGACGTCTCAGACTGGAAGAGAGGCAGGAAGAAGACGTGATCTCCTCCTCCTGAAGCTCCTCCCCTCAGCAGCGCCGTCTCCTCCAGCGAGCTCTCCAGGTCGCGGTGCATCTGGATGTAGCTGTTGCACAGGTCCATGCACAGCTTGTAGAGGCGTTTGACCAGCCACGCCCAGTCGGCGCTGCCCAGCGGCTGCACGCTGAGCGACGGGATCGGGGCTCGCCACTGGTGACGTTTGTCCCGGCCGCGAGGAGGGCTGACCTGCCGAGGAGACAAAGACAGAAGGGGACGATCTCTTATTTTTGTTTTTATTCCTCCACGCCGACGACAGTCAGTCATATTTGGCACAAACATTCACCTGGTCAAAGGTCAAGTTACCTGTCAATCACTGTGACTTCTTCATGCACCTGCACTGTTTTCTTTACGTCTTTAGCTTTCGTGGCTTTCACCGTTAAGCTACACCAGAGGTTCTGCTGCTTTTTATTTCAAATAAAAAGTAAAACAGGAAGAGGCCGTGTGTCGGCGCCTCACCTGTGCCGTTTCCTCAAAGATGTCCTCGTCCTCTGAGGAGGCGGACCCAGGGTGGGAGGAGTCGGAGCTCCCCTCCTCTTCCTCGTACAGGATCCTCTTCACCTGGACACAGTGAACGGGTCCGATGTGAGAAAAAGAATTTCAACTTCTAATGACTTGTTAGTTGGTAGCTAATGCGTTGCTACATGGTTACCGCGGCGATTCTAGGTGGTTGCTAAGATGTTAACATCTGATCGTCTTGTGTGTAGTAGGTAGTAGTAGTAGGTGGAGCTTCAGGAGCTAAGGTGTGCAGGTTATTAGATAAAAACATATAAAAACACCTGCTCTGAACGTCTTTCTTCACATCCACCACAAACACAAATGAAAACCACCGTAAAGCTGCATCATGCTCATGTTCTTACTTTCCTCTGATAAAGTCAGTTTATAAAAGATGAGTTTCTGTGGGTTTGTCGTTATAAGTGACCTTCTCTTTAATGTGAATATGAAAATATATTAGTGCAGCTTTAAACTGAAAGCAGAACACTTTAAAAATACAAAATAAAATTAAAGGAAAATGTGATTAAAAACTGTAAAAAGAAGTTTGGGTGACTGGTTTCTACCTGCTGCGCCGTCATGCTGTCGGACTGGCTGAGCGTGGCACACAGCAGCGCCTGGAAGTACAGGTTGAAGCTCATGGCCGACTGACGGTAAAGATTAGCCGCTCCGCAGACGCCCGACACCTTCATCAGCAGGTACTTCAGACCCGGCCGGGTGTCGAAGTCACGAGCCGTCCTGCAGAAACACAGACCACCAGGTTCTACTATGTGAATCTGATCAACACCATCTGTTTGGAAGTTGTGTTTGAAGGTGATCACACGTCCTCTGGGCAGCGCTATCAGAAAGTGGGCTAGCTGGTTAGCAAGCTAACTTCAGAAGAAGAAGAGAAGTGATAGGTGTAAACGGAAAACAAAAGGAACGGGATTGTTTCCACCTCTGGAGACAGATGTTTAGTGAAGGAATGAAATTTGATGCTGAACTGACAATGTTTCTTCTAGACTGGTCAGTAAACAGCTGCTAATGCTAACGTTAGCTATGTAGCATTAGCAAAACTTACAAATAGCTCCTTCAACCATCTCTTAGCTTGGTTACTCTTCCTTGTTGGTTTAATTTCTCTGTTGCAGTCACCTGTAGGAGTCCAGCAGCAGGTCCAGGATTATGGCTAAATTAGTCATGGAGATGTAGCGCAGGAAGCCCGCGGCGGGTCTGCTGGGGTCGGAGGTCACGGGCGTGACCCTTTCGTGACCCTCGGGCTGTTTGACGAACTCCTCCAGGAGGATGTCGTAGAGGTTCTGGAGCAGGACCTGGTGGGACAGCAGGCTCACCACGATGGTCCGGAACGGGATCCTACAGAATCCAGAAACCAGGACGGTCAAATCACTTTGACCCAGTTTCTAATGGATCAGGACGAACACTCTGATAAACCAGTTTATTTGCTGCTGTTCTGAGGCTTATGAAGAAAATCATTTACATTACAAAGGTCATTATTTATTTATATAGTATAAACTACAACCATCCCCACATAATCTGTCTTAAATCATAATTGTTACACAATATAATAATGTTTACTATATTATTATAATATAAATAACATACAATTCTGTCATAACACCATCACACTATTATTATATTATTCTATTTACGTTCACTTTACAATATTATATTAGCTTCTTTTTTGCCGTGAGATTTATTATTATTCCTTTTTTTCTCTTTTTTTAATTTCATCAAAATTATTATATTATTATGTTTTTTTGTTATTTGATTATTTTCATTACATTCTTCCTACAATTATATTTATATGACATCATTAATGTCCATTAAACTTCTCCTTTCACCTTCTCACAGATACATACATCAAATAAACCGTGAAAACACACACACACACACACACACACACACACACACACACACACACACACACACACACACACACGATGCATCATGTTGTTAAAGGTTTAATGAACATGTAGAGACGTGAGAGGGTGTTTGCTGTTGTGAACCGTGCAGAGCCGTGTCAGAGAAAACAGTCTTACCCAAGTTTCCTGTGAGCGCCGCCGCAGAGAGACAAGCAGAGACAGTGAGTGAGTTAGTTCAGCTGCGACTGTCATCTTCTTAAAACACGTCAACACAAACTCTCCTTCAAGGTCTAAAGGTTGAATCATGAAGCCGGTTTAGAAACGCAGTGTCTCTTTGTCATAAAGGTCGAAGTTTACAGTAAATGATTTTGTTTTTGTTTTCTCTTGTGATAAACTGATGAACTGGTGTTTCTACCACCGTCGTTAATAACGTCAGATGCTTAAATAAACTCGTTGATTAAACAATGTTGTTTGTTTCATCAACAGTCAGTGTACGTCAGTAAATACACATGGTCGGGGGGGGTGGGGGTGTAGTTACCGCCGCCAAGGTTCGTTTGTTTGTTTGTTTTTCTGCAGGATGGCACAAAAAAACACTGAACCAATTTGCTGCAGATTTGGTGGATGGATGGGGGAGGGGCCAGGAGTGTTTTGAATCCTGAACACTGTGAGATAGGACAGAAGAGTTTAGATCTTCATGGAGAAAGTCAGACATGTTAATACTGTTGAGATCCATGAGTTTGTGTCAGAATCTGGATCCAGATCTCGTCCTTGCCGGAGGTCTGAGCCGCTCGTCTCAGTTTGGGTTTGAGGTTAGAAAATGAAAACATGTCATTAATTATCATCACGCATAGAGCAAGCGATGCTTCTGTGTGTGTGTGTGTGTGTGTGTGTGTAGTCCACCTCTTCTGTGTGTGTCCGTTGGACTGCTGGTCAGACGGCAGCTCGATGATGAGAACGCAGGACTGAGCGTGCTCAAAGCCGTCCTTGTTGTTGGGCGTCTTCGGAGAGCACTGGGTGTCCAACATGAAGACCTGGGACACAGAGAGAGAACGTGTTAATGCAGCTGTACAGCCGTAGAGCTGTAACCTAGCAACCAGCAGCAACAGAGCACAGGTCAGCGTAGCTCTTGTCTGAGTTAAACATCATTTCTATCTGGATCTTCTCAGTTTAAAATCCTCTTCTGACACTTTCCTGCTCAGAGCTGCAGAAGCAACATAAACACAGAAGGTGAATAAGACCTGGAAGTAAAAACGTTCATATCGTTTAAATTTGTTTAGAATTACATCTGTCTGTGAATAAATCATGGAAAACATACACATATATGCACGTAGGAGCAAGTTGAAACAGACACTGCCAGAGGTTTGTTTGTTTCACGGAGAAATTCATCAACTTTCAAGCTAATTTTCACCCTGGGAGTCAAACTGTTTCTCACCCATAAACATTTCTTTATATTTTATAAGATTTAGCTTCATATTAAACACAAGATTTTAAATTTTAGGGTAAAGCAACAGAAAACTAATTTGAACTCAGTATTAGGATCGGGCCGATATTTGATAATATCGAATATTGTGATATTTCCTGCCATGTGCAATATTCTTCAAAATATCAAATCTATTTTTTTGCACTTTTGAACAGTCTGCCCCACTGTAATATAATACATAATTATACATTATGAATAATATAATTAATTATATGTCGGATGTTGTATAAATGTATGTATGATATATAATTATTTGGGCAGGACTGCATCGAGATATTGAATTTGGATCTCACCTGAGCTTCACCTGAATATCGTATAAAGTCCACGTATCATGGCGGTGGAACAGTCTTCACGTGTCACTGACCTGCTGAGCCATGGCTTTGATCCTCCAGTACTCGGCCTCGGCCGACGGCGAATGAGACGGAGCCGCCACCTTCACCTCGCAGGCGTCTCCGGAGAAACTGTCTGAACCACTGTGAAAACAGGCCAGCAGGTTCTATACACACACACACACACACACACACACACACATACACACACACACACACACACACACACGCACACACACACCAAATTAAAAAACCAGGAACCAGTTATTTTTTCTACGTTGAGTCGTTTCAGTTTTGCTTTTCTCCCTCAGTTATTCTCGTGTCTGACACGGCGTCCTGGTGAATCCACGGTTTACATCCTGTTTTATACTTTAATACAATCTATACATTAACCCAGTTTAACCCAGTTAAACGTCATGTGTTAATGTTTCTGAAAGCATAAGCTACATGTTCAGGTCACGTCTACATACTGGGAGCTTCACATCGAGGACGTCACTGTCCTACCAACATTTACTCCCATTCATTTCAAGCACATTCAAAGGCACCTATAGTATATTTACATATTTCTATACATAAATCTACATGTTCTCTAAAGAATGACTGTGACATGTTGCTGAATATTCAATTTCTCTCAGTTTAAAACAGAATGGAGACAAAGGGCAGAGCAGCAAGTTAAAGAGACTGACATTTCGAACATCATCCAGCTGTTGAGGAGCAAAATACACATTTCACACCAGATGTGAATCTGGACCAGGACTCAGGCACCACTATTCTTAAAACCACTGCAATAAGAAATGAGTCCCACTGACATGTGAATTTAATATTATTGAGTTTTTAATTCGGGAACCTCCAAGAGATAAAAAGATCTTTAAAGCTCCTCCAGTGTAAAGGTCTGTGTCCATGTGTAGTGTGATTATAGATCAGGTCTAGCTTCTATATTAATACTGTGAAAGTATCAAAGCCTCAGTCCACAGAGAAATGCACACAGCCTGTATTCAGAAACTTATATAAACCACCATAAAACCTAAATAAATACGATGTGCTACATGCAACAGTAATACTGAGCCCCAGCAGGCAGCACAGACACAAGAGCAGTTATATAACGACAACACGTCTGTGAGTGTGGCCGAGAGCACGTTCAGCTATATGTTGAGATTTTACATATTAAACTGAGACGCGTGTTTTAAGCTGTAAAAACTCCCTGATGCACTGAAGAGATAAAGACGTCAGGGTTTTTAAATCAGCTCTTCATCTGAGATAAAAACAGCCACACGCTTCACACAGAACAAGAATAAAACAAGAACCACACGACTGATCTGTTTTAATATTAGCATGTTGCTAACGTAGCGCAGAAAATAACCACAACTCATGTGGTGAGTTTAAAGACTTAAGTCATGTTTTCTGAAACAAGCAAAGAAAATCTGTCAATAGTGATAGGATCATCATCATCATCATCATCATCATCATAATCATCACCATCTCTCACACACACACACACACACACACACACACACACACACACACACACACACACACACACACGTGGCTCTAAGCTGTAAAGCTGCTTAGCTGCAGTCTGTCAGTCAACTGCCACAGAACTGAAGGAACACACAACATCCACTAACAAAATGCCTGGCGATGTCACCTCTACTGACTGAACACACGCACGCATGCACGCACACACACGCACACACACGCGCACACACACACGCACACACAAGGAGGAACAGCAGGGTTTGGATTCCCACTGATGAATCTGTGATCTCCCACGGTCCTGAAACACCACATCCACACAGCAGGTACCACCATCAACAAATTAACACGAGCCTCTTCACTACTAATGAAGCTAAGCATGCTGGGAAACTGTGTCAAACACAGCAGCTCGACTTTTGAAGATCTTCCTGCATCAGGAGCCAATCAGATGTCTGCTTTTACCTTCCCCTGGTGTGACGTTCATTCACCTGCTTTCTTTATTAGAGCAGCTCGATGAAGAAGATCATGATATTATCACAATATTTATATATAAAGATGCTGTCGCTCAAAATCATCTTTAACTTTGTTTATTTTGTGTTTTGTCAAATAAATTAAACTATGAATGATTTCTGGTCACAACAGGAAAACCTCACACCTCAGTGTGTGTGTGTGTGTGTGTGCGTGTTCACACAGTGACGACATCATCATGGATAAACCTCCTGAATCTCAGCCTGAAGAAGAATCCTCATGGACGTACTTGTTGACGTTCCGGCACTTTCCCATGAATCTTTATTTTTCTGTTCATGTGATCTGTGAACGAGTCGCTAACTTCTACAATAAACTCAACTGAACGGCTTTTGTTGCTGGTTTGTGACTTTTGTTTTATATTTTGTTATAATGTCGTATCACATGTACATTTTTTTACAAAGTAGTTTGAACTAGTTTTTCTAAGTAGCTTTAATTAAATAAACTAGTTTTCTCTTTAGCATAGCATCACTGTAGCTTAACTTCCTCCAGTGTGAAGTGATTGGTATCTTCCCCAACAATGACTTTTTGACTTTTTTCATCTGAGAACTTTGAAAAACACAGTTATTTCCCTCACATCTGTCTCTAATCTCTCAGTCAGGTACTGAAGAAAACACTGTTTTGTTTTTGTTAATGAATCTGGAACATCACAGCAGCTTCATTTCCAGCAGACGTCCAGCTGCAGGACGTGAGAGCTTCTTCCTCCAGTTCAATCAGTTCAATAAAGATGAGAAGTGAAACAATAAAACTGTTGTTGCTCACAGCTGCAGACCTCTGCTGGTGTGTGTGTGTGTGTGTGTGTGTGTGTGTGTGTGTGAGGTTAACTGGGGTTATCAAGCTTAACGTGGAGTGTCAGCATGTTGACAGTATTAACTGCGAAGGCTTGTAGATTACTTCTGTCCCAACCAGCAGCTTCAGATTGGGGATGGATTATGCGGTCACTACAGTGGACTGGCCTGTTGACTGTGAGAGTGTGTGTGTGTGTGTGTGTGTGTGTGTGTGTGTGTGTCTACCTTGACAGGCTCTAATGTGGCAGAGAAAGCGTCCTGCAGAGCGCAGCAGGCCAACCTCCACATCTCCTCTGTGAACACCGGACCAACTGTCACCAGCACATATCTGAGGAGAGGGAACATTAGAGACAGAAAACAATCGGATCAGCCAGAGAAAAATAAATCAGATAAAAACTATATTATAAATCTCCATATTTTTATCTTCTAGTAACAACAGGTCGGTCAGCCAATCAGAGGAGAGGAGGCTCTGAGCCTCTCTTCCGATTGGCTGAATGTTTTGTGAGTGATTATATTTACAACCTGGAAAACTTTCATGAGAAACGCTTTAGATTCTTTAGAGCTGTGGACACTTTTGAACTAAAGGAATATAAATAAGAGGAATAGATAGACAATTGACACGATCGCTTCAAAGGTAGGAAGTCGTTTTATCCGTCGTCCTTCCTTTTAGTTTATTACAGTACAACAGTTACCAACAGGACTTTCCCCCCTTTTTATTTCATAGGTCAAAACACTGGATCAATCATTTCAATGATATATTGATCGCCAAATTGGAAATTTTCACTTCAGAAATCTGGTCACCTTATGTTAATAATTTGGGCTGTCATTAAAGTTTTGGTTCATGCAATTTAAACCATGCAGTCAAGTATGATTTTGATATAAAACGATTACACATTCGGCTCTAACTGAACCCACGGATTCACTGTTAAGACTGTGGTGACAGATGTGTGAGTGAATACAGATGTGTGAATGAATACAGATGTGTGGTCACCTGATGCAGGAGCAGCCGACTCTGGAGATGGTCTCTGCAGGTTCAGACACACAGGCCACCAGCAGCTTGAACAGGTCCTTTAACATCAGGTTTATCAGACACTCGTATCCAATGTCTGCGCACAAACACACACACACACACACACACACACACACACACACACACACACACACACACACACACACACACACACACACACACATCCTGTGAGCACATGGGACAGCGGTGGAGAGGCCACAGTTTAATTTGACTAAAGAGGACAGTGGAACAACGAGGCGTCGCTCACGCTCCACTTCACACCAGACAAACAACATCAGTCTGTCACAGAGTTTCACACAGGTTCATGATCCTCAGGTCAAATTTCATCTCATGTTTACGTCCCTCTTTCTTTCCTCTCTTCATCCTCTCTCCTCTTCCTCCATCGTTAGCGTTGGAGAGAAGATGAGCTCTCCCTCGGTGTTGGTTTGTTGTTTTGTGGTGCTGTTTTATTCTCTGCTGATTCTGTTGATTGTGTTTTTCTTGGTGTTGTGTAAATTCATCTGATTCGATTCCTTTCATTGTTTGTCTGTGGCTCATGTAAATGATGCTAATGTGTCGTTAACACCACAGCACAGTGAGGAGAGAGGAGAGAGGAGGAAACTTTCAGAACACTGAATCGTTTGGAAACTTGTGACGTATAAAAACGGAGGCTTCGCTCTGCAAACATCACTTCCTCTACATTCAGTTAGCCCAACAGTTAGCCACAGTTAGCTCGCTGTTCATCACTGATCAAAGGAACATGTTGAACTTTCCAACAAGATGAACCATCGAAACACGCCGTCACTCCATCCTCCGTCAAAGAGAGCAAAGAAGAAGAAACTACAGGAAGGAAATCATGAAGCTTCACCACTGAACTTCTCCTGCTCAGGATGTGCAACTGAACAAGTTCTGATCTGTACACACACACACACACACACACACACACACACACACACACACACACACACACACACACACACACACACAGCTGCGTCTCACCCGAGTGTATGAAACTGTTGACGTGCTCCACCACCAGCTCGCACGACAAGCCGATGGCGTGTTTGAAGTTTGCCGCCGCCACGTCCCAGTAGGAGTGGTCGCCATGGCTACGCTGCAGCCACAGCGACATCACAGGAAGCAGTAGCTGGATGACGGAGAAAATGGCGAACCCCGGACCTGGAGGGAGGAGGCGGAGTTAATGGAGAATAAACATCCACTGGAGACAAACACATGTTCGATCACGTGACAGAAAAACACTGTTAGCTTACTGCTGTTGTTAGCGTGCTAACTGTGCTAGCTCCTTAAGGCTACGTGTGTGTGTCTCTGTGTGTGTGTGTGTGCGTGTGTGTGTGTGTGTGTGTGTGACCTGGGACAGTGGTGACCTCTCGGAGCAGGGTGAAGAGCAGGTCGAGGGTTGGGGGCTGGTGCTGTCGAGGACAATTGGACACGGCAGCTGTGAGCTGCTCCAGTAACAGAATCCAGACCTGGATCAGACCTGCGGGACGGAAACACCAGGTGTGTTAAAGACGGAGCGCAGAGGAAGAGACGAGCAGAGGGACGGTGACGTCTTCACCTGTGTCATCGTCAAACTCCTGGAGGACGCAGTCCATCCCGTCCTCGCTGCCGACGGAGCGTTCCTGCGCTCTCATTGGCAGGCTGGCGAGCCGTGCCCCCAGGAACACGGGCTTGGACGGCATCTTGTAGATCTTCGCCAGCAGCTGTCGATCACATGCGACATGATTTCATTAAATCACATGAAGAAGAACAAGTGATGAGCCACAGAGCCGCAGCTGGACAGTTCACTGACGAATTCATGTCAGTGTAAATGAATCAAACCACTTCATCACTTCATCACTTCATCAAACACTTCATCACTTCATCAAACCACTTCATCACCTCATCACTTCATCAATTCATCAAATCACTTCATCAGTTCATCAAACACTTCATCACTTCATCACCTCATCATTTCATCAGTTCATCAAATCACTTCATCACTTCATCACCTCATCAGTTCATCAAACACTTCATCAAACCACTTCATCACTTCATCAGTTCATCAAACACTTCATCACTTCATCAAACCACTTCATCAGTTCATCAAACACTTCATCACTTCATCAAACACTTCACCAGTTCATCAGTTCATCAGTTCATCAAACACTTCATCCCTTCATCAGTTCATCAAACACTTCATCACTTCATCAAACCACTTCTTCACTTCATCAAACACTTCATCACTTCATCAAACACTTCATCAGTTCATCAAACCACTTAATCACTTCATCACCTCATCACTTCATCAGTTCATCAAACACTTCATCACTTCATCAGTTCATCACCTCATCACTTCATCAAACACTTCATCAGTTCATCAAACCACTTCATCACTTCATTACTTCATCACCTCATCACTTCATCACTTCATCAGTTCATCAAACCACTTCATCACCTCATCACTTTATCACTTCATCAAACACTTCATCAGTTCATCAAACCACTTCATCACTTCATCACCTCATCACTTCATCAGTTCATCAAACCACTTCATCACTTCATCAGTTCATCAAACCACTTCATCACTGCATCAGTTCACCAACCAGTTCATCACTTCATCACCTCATCACTTCATCAGGTCATCACTTCATCAAACCACTTCATCAGTTCATCACTTCATCAGTTAATCAAACCACTTCATCACTTCATCAGTTCATCAAACTCTTCATCACTTCATCACCTCATCAAACCACTTCATCACCTCATCAAACCACTTCATTATTTCATCAAACACTTCATCAGTTCATCAAACCACTTCATTACTTCATCACTGCATCAGTTCAAACCACTTCACTTCATCAGTTCATCACTTCATCAAACCACTTCATCACTGCATCAGTTCACCAACCACTTCATCAGTTCATCAGTTCATCAAACCACTTCATCACTTCATTAGTTCATCACTTCATCAGTTCATCAAACCAGTTCATCAGTTCATTAGTTCATCACTTCATCAGTTCATCACTGCATCAGTTCATCAAACCACTTCATCAGTTCATCACTTCATAAGTTAATCAAACCACTTCATCACTTCATCAGTTCATCACTTCATCAAACCACTTCATCAGTTCATCAAACCACTTCATCACTTCATCAGTTCATCACTTCATCACTTCATCAAACCACTTCATCAGTTCATCAAACCACTTCATCAGTTCATCACTTCATAAGTTAATCAAACCACTTCATCACTTCATCAGTTCATCACTTCATCAGTTAATCAAACCACTTCATCAGTTCATCACTTCATCACTTCTTCAAACCACTTCATCAGTTCATCAAACCACTTCATCACTTCATCAGTCCTACCTGTGAACACTTGCGGAGGTAGTCGAGGGCGGGCAGACAGAGGTCGGTGGAGCTGTAACCTGACACATGGACACAGTCTCCGATCTCCTTATAGTCCACCTCTCCTACACGGAGTAATATATAATATTTAATATATATAATATTTGATATATAATAAATACTTCATATACAATATATAATATTTAATATATAATATTGAATATTCAGGTACAAAAACATGTAAATATATATTTTTCTGTTAATGTGTAAAGCAACAAACAACCCAAGTAAAACAGGAAGTCTGCAGGAACCTGCTGAGAATCATTAAACACTGATGAATTTGTTTTCAATATTCTGCCACGTTGTTTCCATGGTTTCACATGAATCCTCTCGTCACGTCTCAGAAAGAGACGTAAACACAAACTGTACGTGTCCTGAGTGTCTGACATCAAACACACAGTTTCCCGCCCGATTCCAGGAGGAATAAACTCCCCGCAGGCTTGTCGGAGTAAACGAGACAAACCTAAGCCTTTGACGAACTTCATGAGGCACATGATGTAGTCGGTGGCGGCGTTGGCGAAAACCTGGATGTTGTCGGTGTTGATGAAAGCCTCAAAGACGTCAAACACCGGCGCCTGGGACTTCCCTGGAGGAGGGAGGGGAGGAGGAGGAGGAGGAGGAGGAAGCAATAACAGAGAGATGAAGGATACATGAAGAAAAACAAAGGACAGAAAAGTCACGATGAACTTCAGGTGTTTTTATTCCTCCACGTCGATGGCGGCCATTTTGTTTTCAGGTTGTGGTTTTGAACTCAATATCTCCATAAGGCCTTTTTAAGCTGTTTCTAAAGACCTCACAGCAGTTATTACATTTCAGCTTCATATTGTCTCTGACTGAATAAACAGGAAGTGACTTGGAACTAGTTTGAGTGGCGGAGGGATACGACCAGGAGGAGGTGGTTCTAGTGTTTGATAGGAAGTGTGTGCTGGTTGGTCGTACCCATGGAGTACTCTCCCAGCAGGTATTCTTTAATGTCGGTCTTGCTGCTGTGGACGGTCCTCAGAGCGCTGAACAGAGGACGCCACCCCGACAGGATCTGAGGAGAACACATCTCCACCAGCTCGCCAATTGATGTGATCACCTGTGGGGAGTGGGGGGGGGGGGTGGGGGGACAGCCTCAGAACCAGTAAGGTAAAATGAAGCAGCTGCTGACTTACTGATCGATCCGTGTTAAAACGTGACTCAGAGAGCATCACCTGGTCCTGCACGTCCTCGTCACACAGCTCCAGCTGCATGATGTGCTCAAACGGCCTGAACAGCGCCTCGTTAAAGTGGAAGTGTGGAAGCTCCGCCCAGCTCGTCAGCACCTCCGTCAGAACATCGTGGATGAAGGAAACGGCCTTCTGGGATACATGGCGCTCTTTGTGACACGCCGCCTGGAAGAAGAAGAAGAAGAAGAATCAATTAAAAAGGATTGTTTCAACAGTTGTCACATGCAGGTGGTTTGCTGCAGTTCCCCACCTCCACCAGGTGTGGCGCCACCACGCTCCAGGCCCTCATCATGTGGAGCAGAGGCCGGCTCTTGTTCCTCACGATCCGCAGCATGGCCTCGCCCAGACGGAAGAGATGGAGAGCACTGCGCCGCTCCAGCGTCGACTTGGCCTCTCCTGCAGACACAGACGGACAAACACACTTCATTAATCAATATTTCATCTAATATTAATTATTCAAATCTGCTGTAATGAAATCACTGTGTTTGTTAATTTACATCCTAATGGCCTCAAAAGAGAGAAGGATGGAGGAAGTGAACTAAAGTAAAAGCAGAGCTTCTTCACTTAATGATTCTAGACACAAACTGAAGTTTGAAAATGATTTAATCAAGTTTAATCTTAGATTTATGGTCAATTCAGAGTTTTTGTTTTGAATTCACCGTCACTTGTGTTGTTGTAAAAAACAAGATGATGTAAAAAACCATCTCAGTGTAGTTTTACATCTCCTCTCTCAGGCTTCTCTCTGCAGCTCTAGTAACAACAGGTCGGTGAGCCAATCAGAAGAGAGGAGGCTCTGAGCCTCTCTTCTGATTGGCTGACTGTTTTCTGACTGATCCAATAAAAATAAAGCAGATTTCAGGTAAAAACACTCAGAGAAACCAAATCCTGCAAGGTTTGGATGGTGGGTCCAGGTGGGCGGGGCTTGGTGACTGCTTTGTTGTGACATCACAAAGTTCCAGAAGTCCTGACGGCTGGTTTTAAGGCTCAGTTTCTGAATACAGGCTGTGTGCATTTCTCTGTGGACTGAGGCTTTGATACTTTCACAGTATTAATATAGAAGCTAGAGCTGATCTATAATCACACTACACATGGACACAGACCTTTACACTGGAGGAGCTTTAAGATTTGACAGAAAGACTTGACGTTACTGGTGAAAGTTAAAGTCATGGCTATGATTCAAGAAAAGAGAGTATTCAATGAAAGTGTGTGTGTGTGTGTACCTGGCATTGCCAGTGAGTAGTCACCAGTCTCAGTTACAGAGTCAAACAGCTGAGACTGAGAAGCTTTTCTCAGCTGCTGCAGGAAACCAACCAAACCCACCAGGTTCAGTTTGGTGGCTGCTTCTTCAAACAACCTGGAACACACACACACACACACACACACACAAAGAGATTTGTTAAAGTGAAAAAACACAGTGAATATAATGAATGTTCTGAGCGCAGGGAGGAACAGGTTCTGGCTGAAGTGCAGCAGCATTGTCCTCTAAGTCCAGTGTGTGTGTGTGTGTGTGTGTGTGTGTGTGTGTGTGTGTGTGTGTGATGTTTTGAGGACAGCCCAGTGCAGAGGAGTATTTACTATGTTTTGGCAGAACTCTTGTAAATGTGTTCAGTCCATCTGCTCCAAAAGATCAGAGGGAACATTTTTTTTATTTGCTCCTAAAAGCAGCAGAGATCACTGGTTACATAAGAGATGATCCTTGGAATAAACACACACATACTCTATATTTACTGCAGCTGTGTGTGTGTGTGTGTGTGTTGAGACAGGGAATAAACTTTAATAAGGTGTGAACTGTTGACACACACACACACACACACACACACACCTCTCTTACCTTTACCTAACTAATATTATACAGTAATTAATTGATATTTGTAAACTGACTTTATAAACACGTCCTCACTCTTAGCGTCTAAAAATCAGATTAGTCTTTACAAAAATTATTACAAAATAAAATGAGACCTTATATTATTATATAAAGTATATGATACTGCTATATACATATACATATACATATATATACGGCCATACAGAGATTAATCACAATATTAAAACACATATATTTCTGTTAGTTCTGCTGCTGCCATCTTGTGGCCGTTATAAAAAGTCCAGGTGTTAAAAAGCTCAGCTCCTCCTGCAGAGCGCCACCTGTCAGTGAGACAGCATGCTGCTGCTACTGAACCTACATGGAGACAGACGTTTCATTGGTCGGCCACACAGCTGCAGACTGAAGCCTCTGTGTGCAATAAATCTATTTAAGAAAATAACCTCCAAAAAGAAAAACAATAAAATTACAAAATTGTAATAAAAATAAAACACAAGGAAAGAATTATTATCATTATATACCACAGCGACGTCAACTGTCTGTTATGGTTTTTGTTATTTCACTGATAGAAAACAAAAACAAAAACAAAAACAAAAACAAAAACAAAAACAGAAGTGTGCTCAGATCTCAGGGCGACATCAGGTCCAAAATCCACAGTTTATAAATCACATTTAAAATAATATAAAGAAACTTTTCTAAACTTTGGATTTCACTGTATTTGACATTTGAGAAGCTGGAAACTGTAAATGCAGAATTTTCTTCTCATGAATGAATCAGTTTCTCATGAATCATTTCATCTCTAAAACTTTTACAGAATCATTAATGTCTCGCAGACACGTACCTCACAATAACACCTATATTTCTACACATATTTACAGTCAAATCTATGACGTCACTGCGATCAGTGTGGCGTGTCTGTCCCACCTGTCGGCCTGTGTTGACAGCGTACAAACAGCCTTGGCGGCGCTGGTCCCCGTCATCAGGCTCCCGCCCTTCAGCTCCAGCCCTCGGCCTCCTCTGCCGCTCTCCCTCAGCAGCTCCTGGATGGAGAGAGGCTGGATGACCGGCTGGCTCAGGCCCAGCTCCGAGGCCTCGGGGCTGGGCTCGCAGCTCAGCTCCAGCCCCAGGTCCACGCCGGCCGCCTGCTGGGTGATGGTGGTCAAAGATGACGGCTGTGAGAAGCCGTCGCTGAAGTGGGTGTGCTCCAGTGAGCTGATGTACTCGGTCACCCTGAGAGAGAGAGAGAGAGAGAGAGAGAGAATAACAGGATTTCATCATCTGAAGAAGAAAAACAACTTTGTTTTCAGATGTTTTTTAGTTTGAAAAACTTTTAGTGTCCCTGAAGACACTGGGACTTAGTGAAGTGTAATAATGTCTGTCTGTCGTCACAGGGACGTGAAGACAAACAGACAAGCGCTTTAGAGGCTTTTGTATTCTCCAAAGTCTCTGAGACAGCGTCTCGTCACTGCGTCTTCAAGGGGAAAGAAACTTTTTATAAGCTTTTATAAAAACCAGAACAGAGAAATTTACTTCCTTCCATCGTCCCTGGAGTTTTCACAAAGTCAGACAGTTAAATAATGTTTTATTATTCAAACTGGGAAGACGGAGAATCTTATCTTAGACAACATAGTGGATTTTAGGAGATAAATCTTACAGTATACTGCAGTGTGTGTGTGTGTGTGTGTGTGTGTGTGTGTGTGTGTGTGTGTGTGTGTGTGTGTGTGTACCTGAACACATGCGGCCAGCAGTCGTGGTTGTGGCTTCCCATCTCCAGTCCCACGTTCAGGATGGCGTCCATGCACAAGACGTGAGCCGTGTGCAGACGAACTCCCTGAGGACGTCCGATCTGCTCCAGACGCTGCTCGACACGCTGCTTCACTGGACACACACACACACACACACACACACACACACACACACACACACACACACACACAGATGTTAAAGGTCAATGGGAACAAAATATTGAACATGAAAAATAATACTGAATAAATTAATAAATGACTTTCAGTTAAATCGATATTGAACGTCATTAAAAGCTTGAGGTTTGTGTCTGATCTCGTCATTGTTTTATGTTCACACTATGTGGAGTTAGTAAGTACGTTCAAAAACATGATGGACACTTCTCATCCGAAACGGCCGCCATCTTGGCTACGTAGCGTAAAGGGAGCGACCCGCTAACATGTGTTCAAACTTGTGATGATAAAGAGGAGGACACGGCGACACACTTTCTTTCTCTACAACAGGAAGTATATTATTGTGTAGGAGTTTTTTTTTTGTTTCTTTGTTTGTTTGTTTTTATTGACAATTTTTCTAACAGTCAAAACTCACAAATCATATTCAGGATAAAGAAACAACAGAAACAGCAGCAATAAGAAGAAGAACATCACAGGTCGGGATAAAGAAAGTCAACAAACAAACAAACAAACAAACAAATAAATGAAAAGAAGCTAAAGAAAATAATAAACTCTGTAATAAACAAGAAAAAATATAAAACTGAAGGGACGCTTCATGTGACACAGCAGATGATTGAAGACGTGATTGTAGTTTCTCTCAGCTGCCACTAGGTGTCACTGAAGGTCTGTTTCTTACTGACGACACCTTCAACCTTTAAACAATCCTGAAGGTTTATATTATATTATACGATATATTATATTATATTATATAATAATCTTTGTTTCCAAATGATCTGTTTAATGACCTGTGTGTTTTAGCGTGTGTAATTGTACACGTGTGTGTTGGTCAGTTATTAGATCATGTTTATTAACGCTGTCAGCACCTTGTGTGATGGCGTCTCCCGTCTCTCCCAGCTCCTTCTCCTCCTTCTCCTCCTGCACACACGACGCTGCGGCCATCTGCGCTAAAGCCGACGCACAGTTGGCAGCCACACCTGTCACACACACACACACACACACACACACACACACACACACACACACACACACACACACACACACACAGGGATCATCACTTTCACTTTGACTCCATTGACACAACGCTGACAGATTTACACACTGTCTGCGTCTTTAAATTTAAACTGCTTGTAAAAGAAAAAGTTTCACAGCATGAGCTCATTTATATTCATTAGAGCTTCTGTGCTGATCATTTCAATCAGCTTCGTCCCCGGTTGGTTGCCGCTGAGCCTGTAACTGACACATTCAGACTTCTGAAACGGTCCGATCGTAAAACTAAATTTCCCCTGATGTTCCCTCTGAAATGTGCAGTTAACAGTTTGTATGGAGGCGTGACCTGCTGAGCAGCCGGAGCAGGTCCTTCACTTTGATTCACCTGAAGCAGAATGAAGCCGAGAGCAAAACCACTTTAGACACAGATCTTTATTTTATAAAAATCTAGGGCAGAGCAGTGAACGCCTCACAGTGGCAGCAGACAGCCATGATGTCCTGTTCGCAGCTGACTGTTTGAAGGACTCGCCCAATCTTAATCACATTAGTGTTTAATTTAATTCTTATTTAAACTAAGCTCTGCAGTCAGCAGCCTCCAAACAAACAAGTTCCACATGAGACTTTTTATGCTCGTAACAAGAGATAGAAATATTGTTTATTTACAGTTAATTACTGAGGCTAATTTAACTGACTGAAGTTCACAGCAGAGTTCAGAAGTTCAGAATTAAAAGCTGTTTGCATCCTAACGAGTGTTTTCAATTATTCTGGCTGATTAGACCTCTGCTCAGGTTCATGTTGGGTGGGGCTACGTCTTCGTGGCTTTCTGTTTCATGCATTCATACCAAGCATCAACCTGAAACATGAAGAAGAACCAGAAGCTGCAGTTCCTCTAACGTCCACTAGAGTCTGGCTCCAACAGTGAGTCAGTCTCCATAGACTCCCATGTTAAAATGTCCAACTTTACAGCAGAAATCAACATGTTTACAGCCTGGAACAGAAACTGTTTTGGTCTCTAGAGCTAATTTCCTCCTTCATGACACCTGTTTATATAATTCACCTGTTTATATAACTCACCTGTTTACACTTTATTAAGGACTACAGTTATGGAGGATTAAGGGCGTGGCCTCTTTGAGTGACAGGTGGGTGAGTGTATGTTTGCCACAAACCGGTACGCCCCTCCTCTTTGACCATATTTGGATTAGATGGGAGTTAGGGGCGGAGTCAGGTACTGCCAAGATGGCGACAGTGGAGCAGCTCACTCTGAGCTTCAGAAACCTGTGGGTGACGTCACAGAGGCGACGGCCATCTTTATTTACAGTCTGTGACTATAGTAACAGTAAGAGAGAGTCTGCACTGGTGACAGCGGAGGAAACATGACAGAGAACGTAAGTGCTGTCCTGCTGCTTCTTGCTGCATTATTTAACAGCACAGGCTGATGTTTCTTGGGGGGGGGGGGGTTCAACTAGAGTAAAAGAGAAATATTCTGTGAACATCAGAACTATTCAAAAGGTCAAATCAGCCCAAAACTATGAAAACAGCCGGGGGGTTGAACCTGCGCTCTGACAGAAGAACCGCTGATTAGAAATGTCTTGGGGCTGAAATGTGTTTGTGTTTTCTACGTGATACAGAAGTGTGGAGGCGCAGATGAAGCATTTCCTTCATTTCATATTCTAATAGGCATTAAACACAGGAATTATAAAAAGAATTTATAAATGAACGATTAATCCATCAATTAATACTTCACATTTAAAAATGGATTTACAAAAACAGCACAAAACTCTCATTAAATAAACCATTTATCAAAACATTTATTAATTCATGAATAAATAATAGAATTTGAAAAGGTATTTTAAAAATGGGAATATATTCCTGGATTCGATTTCCTTTTTCCAGCTGCCTTTCCTGTTAGCTAATCGATTAGCTTTATCATTTAGCCTTTCTCTGTGTAGCCAATCACATGTTTCATCAATAAATGTATTTATAAAATGTTTATTTCATGAGAGTTTCATGTTGTTTTCATTAATCCATTTTAATGTCTATTAAAATATGAAATTAAGGAAATGCTTTATTACTTTTGCTGTGACGTCCCTGCTCCTCCGTACAAACCTCTGACCTCTGACCTCTCTGTGTCGGAGAACAGGGGTGAACGATGCACCTGACGTTTCTTATGAACACACACACACGTGTTTCACCCACCCAGGGCGCAGCTGAGCGCGGCAGCTTTGCGTAGGCCGTCTAAACTCAGACAGATGGTGTCTCTCTCCCTCTGGCTCTGCTCTTTCACCCCCTCTGCTCCCAGGATGAACGCCAGGCCCTTGGAGCTGCCCGCCATGCGGCCCGTCAGCGGCGTGGACAGGACGTCGATCAGGTTCTTCCAGACGCCGGTGAGGATGAAGCGAGAGAACACGGCTCCTGAAGAACACACACAGGCACATTTTACAGGCAGGAAGTGCGAACACCACCTGCTGGAGGAAATCCAGTGTAAAGGTTTCACTATAAAGCAGCAGCTGACTGTTTTCTGAGTGATCCAATAAAAATAAAGCAGATTTCAGGTAAAAACACTCCGAGAAACCAAATCCTGCAAGGTTTGGATGGTGGGTCCAGGTGGGCGGGGCTTGGTGACTGCTTTGTTGTGACATCACAAAGTTCCAGAAGTCCTGACGGCTGGTTTTAAGGCTCAGTTTCTGAATACAGGCTGTGTGCATTTCTCTGTGGACTGAGGCTTTGATACTTTCACAGTATTAATATAGAAGCTAGAGCTGATCTATAATCACACTACACATGGACACAGACCTTTACACTGGAGGAGCTTTAACTCAGGTCAGCAAAACCCAAGATCTCTCTCACACACACACACACACACACACACACACACACACACACACACACACAGGGCTTAACTGTCATCAGGGGTGACTCAGCGGTGGTTACCATGGTGATTCTGGCCAATCCTTTGTCCTTGAGGGGGATGCAGAAGGAGCGCAGGTGGTCCCTGACTCATTTTCTCCATCTCTCTCTCTCTGCCCTCTCTCACCTTTTTGTTTTTCCTTCCCCTCATCTCTCTCTCTCTCTCTCTCTCTCTCTCTCTCTCTCTCTTCTTCCTCAGAGCAGTTACATCCAGTCAGAATTAGTGGCTTAACAATTCATTTATTTCATTTTTAGTGCTTTAATATGTTAAAATATGTGGTAACCAGGTGATGATCTGGTCAGACGGACACAAAGAGAAATAAATTGTTCAAAAATGAAATGCTCGATCTCGCAAAATGAATCTTGTTTCACTTTCCTCCAAATTTCTTTGAAATCTTTTGAACTTCCTCACATGTTCTGCTGACGAACAAACAGACGACTTGTTTGTTTCATCCTGTGAAGTCAGACAGAACCTAAAGTCTGAATACATTTAGATATTTAAAGTAAAAGGTTTTATATGCATCAGATTTTTATTGTGCATGTCGGCAGGTTTCAGTCTGCTTTGATTATTCTGTGATCATGGTAAATGGATTCAGCTGCAGCTGTAAGGTATTTAACATGTTAACAGTTTGTCTCGATCCTCCAGGCTCACAGCAAGTACTGACCCGATTTAGTTTTCTCTCTTTCGTGCACTTTAAAGGAATTCAACTGATGAATTAAAACCTTTATTTTAGGGACTAAAGCTTCATCTTCTGAAGGTTCTGGCTCAATCTGTAACAAGCTGTAACAGGAGCTGTTACATAAACGGCCATAAGACCTAGAAGTTAATGTGATGTGCCACATGAAGCCACAGTGTGCGGCCCAGCAGGCAGCAGAGTCACAAAGACTGTTACATAAACACAGTGAGAGCTGATACGCTGTGGAGACAAACACCATCACCACCAGCATCTTCACTTCACCTCCACCGCTCTGTGTTCACCTGAGCTTAGATTTCCCATGATGCACAGGGCAGTTACATCGTGTTCCCTGGATATATAATTCATCTACTCATCAGGCGCAGCCTTGTTCATGTGTGGAGGTCGGAGCTGAGCGTGCAGGGTTAGAGCTGATGATGACACACTGACCTGCCATCACGCTGTCACCGCCCGCCTTGTTGCAGCTGAGTGGCGATTGGCTGGAGGCCCTCCTGATCAGCTGACCGCCGATTGCACTGCTGCCCAGACCGTCAATATCTGAGAGGAGGGGGGGGGTCAACGTGTTTATAATTGGCTGAAAATCGGCCATGTTGACAGTTTCCATGGCAACTAAACAGTGTCTTCATCCAGGTGAGTCTAGTCCAATGAGAGTAGGCTTACGTTTGGATTATATGAGGTGTGTGTGTGTGTGTGTGTGTGTGTGTACCTGTCAGCGTGGTGATGAGCGGCAGGGCGTGGTCCTCCGGCGAGCCCCAGTACCCGGCCTCGCCCAGCAGGTTGCGCTCCAGCACCTGGTGGTAGAGCTCCTCGATCCACGCCTGGGACAGAACCACGAGGACGCCGCTGCTCTGGATCAGACGCACAAACTCCTTCTGCACAACACACACACACACACACACACACACACACACACACTTTGAGCTCCTCTCTCTTTGCTTATTGTCTATAAATGTATAAATATTCCTGTGTTCAGCTTCTAGTCGGAGATATTCTACGTCAGGTCGACAGCTGTTAAACTCGCCTTTCTCCAGATGTAAATGCACTTTTTTTTAATTTCATTAACTGAAGAAAAGGAAGAATGAAACAGTAACTGTTGTTACGTGTAAAAGCTGCGGCAGAGAACACGAACACCTTTAGTTGACAGTTTGTGTTTTCTTGATTTTTCATACATTTATTACAATGAATTCATGAATCTGTAAAGTCCACGACACTTTATTTCCATGTTCTTGCAACTATTTCATTTTATTTTCTAAATGTTTTTAAAGTTTGAAGAAAGACTCATTTTTTAACCTCCTTCTTTACAAGAATCTAAAATATGTCATTTGCCCTGAGGTGAGAAAAACTGTTTCTCATTCAACTGCTTGAGAAAAAGCAACAAACGTCTAATGAAGCAAAGTAAACAGTGACGGTCAGGAACGGGATGCAGGAAGTGATGTCACGCAGGGAGGCGACACTCACCAGGCTGAGCACGGGAGCGAGCGTTCGGCGTCTGTAGTAGTCGCAGCAGCAGAGTTTGAGGTTGAGCAGCAGAGCGTAGTACGACACCAGGTACAGACCGTCTGCGTTCATCAGAGACTGACAGCTGAGGGTGTCACCTGCCTCGAAGCCCGGGGAGTGGATCCCACCTGGAGGGGGGGGGGGACTTTACTGGGCTTCATTTGTAAATTGTAGCGTCTACCAATAGTCTGCATGAGAGGCGTTTAGGGGACATCTGTAAATTGTAGCATCTACCAATAATCTGCATGAGAGGCGTTTAGGGAACACATGAATTCTGGTTTTAATCAGTAGTTTCTGAATCTGCAGAACCAACTGTAATTGTTTGTTTTGTTCTTTTACTTCATGTTATTGTGTTTTTCCATGAATAAAACAACAGAGAGTCTCAAGAGTTTTGTTTTCACTTCAGTTCTTGTTCAAACAATGAATGTTTCATGTGAGACTCGACCAACAACAGAGACAGAAGAGAGAAGGCTGCTGCACAGATCACTCCACCCTCAGCAAATATCCTGTTTGTTTAGCTAACACACACACACACACACACACACACACACACACACACACACACACTCACCAGCTTGCAGTCCGGAGCAGAAGGTGGAGGAGAAGTTCTGCAGCGACAGGTCCACCTCGGTGGCGGTGGCCAATCCCAGCAGCCGGGGCAGCAGCGCCGCCAGCGACTGGACGAACAGCCTGGCGCTCTGCTGGTCGGCCTCCTGGTTGCGGAGCAGTTTGAGGGACATGGCGGCGTTGCGAAGGGAGCGGTGGCCCGGGCAGTCGCGAGGCGTCTGCTGCTCCTCGTCAGCCAGCGAGACGTTGTCAGAGCCGATGTCCGAGACGTCGGAGCGCCCCGAGTCTTTCTCAGCAGCCATGGAGTACTGGTCACAGGAGTCGAACTCTGTCCGCGACAGGTCCTGCTCCTCCATGCTGGGGGAGCAACAGGGAGAGTCGTTACACCTCTATCACACTGACGAGCTGTGGAGCTGTGAGACCTGATACAAAGATCAATAAAATCACTTGAAAGCCATAAAAGTTTAAGTTTTCATCATTGCAATAAAAAAACATAATAATATAAAATAAATATACTGAGTTTTGAAAATCTAAATTATTTAAATATGCTTCTTTTATTTATAAGGTTTGGCAAATAAATAAATGAACTGTATTCCACTGCTCTATGGTGCGTTCATTTTCAACTGGGAAATCAGAATTTCCAGTTTCCAGTTGGAAATTTGAACTTGAACGCCTCCTGAAGTCGGATTTCTGACTCGGAAAAGTTGGAACAACGTCACCAACGCCACACCTCAAAATCCAAGATGGCCGCTCTGCACATGAAGAGAAGTGAAAGCTCCAGCGATCGACTGTTATTAGCACTTGGTGCTAATTGTGTCTCATTAATTAAATCAGTCGTACAAACAGTTTGTGATGACTCTCACACACACACTCTCACACACACACACTCTCACACACACACTCTCACACACACACTCACACACACACTCTCACACACACTCTCACACACACTCTCACACACACTCTCACACACACTCTCACACACACACTCTCACACACACTCACACACACACTCTCACACACACTAACCCTCTCACACACACTCTCACACACACTCTCACACCCTCTCACACACACTCTCACACACAACACTCTCACACACACTCTCTCACACACACACTCTCACACACACACTCTCACACTCTCACACACACACACACACACTAACACTCTCACACACACACTCTCTCATACACTAACACTCTCACACACACACTCTCTCACACACACTCTCTCACACACACTCTCACACACACACACTCTCACACACACACTCTCACACACACACTCTCACACTCTCACACACACACTCACACACACACACTCTCACACACACACTCTCACACACACACTCTCACACACACACACTCACACACACACACACACTCTCACACACACTCTCACACACACACAAACACTCTCACACACACTCTCACACACACACACACTCTCACACTCTCACACTCTCACACACACTCTCACACACACACACTCTCACACACACACACACACACACACTCTCACACACACTCTCACACACACTCTCACACACACACAAACACACACCTGAAGTTGCTCTCGCTGTATCGTGACCCGCCCGCGTGGTGCGACCTGGTCCTGGACTCCACAGACAGGAAGTTGGTGATGTCAGGGTAGACGAGGGCGTGACTCCGCTGGACCACATCTGGAGGAACCACTACTCCTCTCTCTCCTCCTCTCTCTCCTCCTCCTCCTCCTCCTCCTCTTGCTCCTGCTCCTTCTTTCTCCCCTCTCCCCTCCCCCGCTCCTCCCCCCTCCTCCCGTTTGCTCCCCTGCTCCGGCTCCACGCTCTGCTCACGCGTGGCCCCCTCCTGGCCGCCGCAGGATGAGGGCGAGGGGAGGCGAGCGTCCTCCCCGCACTCCTCAGGAGTGGTGTGGCCCGGTCCGAGCCCCCCCGCCTCCAGGTCCAGGGTGGTCTGGCCCGTTTCCGTGGTGATGCTGATGCTAATGTCGGGGCTGCGCTCGGTGGTCCCGCTGGTGGCCATGTTGGAGGAGGAGGAGCCGGGCTCCCACGGCGGCTGCTCGGACGCCAGGATGTGTCTCTGCCACCTGAAGTCGGCCTCGTTGATCTCCATGGACTCCCGCGTGGACTCCGTCCCGTCCTTCAGGTCCTCCAGTCGTCTGAGGAGGAGCCGAGCCTGAAAACACAGCGTCACCGTTTCACGCTGAACGCCTCGTTTCTCTCCGTGTGTGTGTTTCCTGTCGGGGGCGTACCTGCTCAGGTTGGATGCCGCGGCCGTGCGACAGTTCATCCAGAGCTCCCAGGAGAGCGCAGGCACAGGAGACGGAGGAGTAACACGCCTCGATGCCTCCCTTCATACACGCCTCCGTCATCCCGTCCATCACTCTGCCGGAGGAAGAGGAAACACACGGACGCATCTTCACTCATTCACACTTTGAGATGAAATGAAACAGACATTAAAAGATGGAGAAGAGTCCCTGATGACAGAGATCGAGCTCAGGACGAGGGTGACGGAACGAACCATGAGTATTATTTTAGCTTCTTTAAATACATGAACTTTAACGTATGAAAGGTTTTAGATATTATATATAGAATAAACATCACAAGGTGAAACTCAGAGGAGGAACAGAGAGAGGAGTTACGAACAGTCTGAGCAGATCCAGGTGAGACTTCCTCTTCGAGAAGGAGCGCTTCCTGGTTTCAGGTTCGGCCACGCACGGACCGGCCAGGTCGTACAGCCGCTGAGGACTGCCCAGAATCTGACACACACACACAC